AATCTTAGGGAGCTGCATTTTGTTGAGGCTACAGTCAGAATATTTCAAAGAATGTCAAATATTGGGAAATCAACATTCAGGACAATTTCTCTTATGATTTCTGGCTCTATTTCATAGGAATACAAAATGTGTCCAGTGAATGTACAATGATAAGTTGAATTTCTTAAATGAAACCTTGCCAGTAATTATTAATTTTTGACTGATCTTTCATCTAACAATTGCAGAATGTAACAATCTGGAAGTTTTGATAAAAAGCCTCTTAAATTGAAATGAAGGAAATACTCATCATTGGTTCTGGTTTTTACTTGGGGTGCTTTGCAATTGGATTTTCTCTTAGATAAAAGACAATTCTGTTGAACAGATTCCTATTCTAAAATTCCATAATTCTCTTGGCAAATTCTTTTATGTGCTGTGTCCCTTCAGGATGTAGGCGATCATGGCTCTCCATGTCCCGCTATCCTTTGTAGCTCTCAATATGTTTTGTCTCTTTGCTACCTCTCCCAGACCCTGTTCTGTCACTTGCTTAAGCTCACTAGATATGTTGCTTTCCCTTGTCTCTCTTTCCCTCTATTCGTCCTGTGAGTATCAGATTCTCCAAACCCTCCATTCTCATTACGTGTCAGAAATTTCAGCTGCCTCTTCCTGATATTAAGTATAAGGTTCCTCCTTGTTTGCATCCTCTCCAAAACCTCAATGTTGCTCACACATGACAAATTACTTAATGAGAATTCAAATAAATCCAATATCAAAATACTATTGAAATTTGGAAGAATGTGACTGTACCTTTCTCTTTTGTTTACTATTGTTCAACCAATACAAGACCCAAGAGCCACTCAAGGTAGTGGGTTACTGAATGAGATTGTTGTAAGGGCACAAAGGGAGGAGGCATATTATGAGTATATGTAAGACAGATATCAATTGACCCTAGACTTGAAAAAGTTGGGATGCATCCTCTTGGGAGTCTGTTCTGCAAGGTGACACTTCTGAGGAAGAAGTTGTCTGAGAGGAACTTCCTCCTTACCAATGCAATATGAAGCGAATGAGGATGAGTTGAAACAATGTACTGAAGGTCTGAATTGGTGGAACTAAGGTATTTGAATATTTGCTGTGCAATAGCAATAGAGTAGTGAGAGACTAGCAATGTTTCACCTGTAGGAAAAGGGGTGTAGGGTGGAAAATACTTAATCATCCGCAAGGCTGCTTAACTGCTTTTGAACTATGTCAAGGTTAGAAAGTGAGGATTAAGTAACACCAGCCCAGAGAATGGCAGCAATACTTCATTCTTGGTTTGATCTAACTCTTGTAAAGATAGAGTATCTGAGTAGGAGTAAGGTACTCTCTGGAGCCTTACAAGGAACCAACCATTCTTCCAGCATCTTTTGGGATGGTAAAAAAGCCTAAATGATATTGTCATCCAAGTTAATATGCTTGTGGTGACATTTGAAAACTGACCTAGCCAATTTTTTGCCTTTTATAACTTTAATACATAGACATTCAGCTTTTTCTATGAGTAAAAATAAATGTAATCTTAGAAATGGCTTTATTTTATTTTTATACATTGAATCTAAATTTTGATATGAATGCTCAATTAGTCATTGTCTAAAAGCAGATGTTATTTTAAATACAAGAGATATTTTTTTATTCTTGGCAATAACCAATTCATTTGTTTATATTTTGAAATGCTGATAAAGTGGACATGACTAGAATTTACTTCCAATTTGTTTTGTTCCAATTAAGAAAAGCCTTCATTACAATTATGCATTCAAATTATTCATTTTTTCTAATCCAGAATCACTAATGCTTCTTTTATTCTTGTATAATTCTCATAATGAGATCTGAAGTGTCATCGTAAACAAAGGCTTAGAGGCATTTTTATGGTGTTTTAAATCACCATTTTATATCCCAAGAATTATTTGGATGATTGATCTCATTTAGTTTTTTTTCTCTGATCCATTCTTCAGCCATGCTCAACCAGACTTTTAGCAGATTTAGTCTTCCTTAAATAAAATTCTGTATGTTAGGCACAAATTAAAATTATATCATTAGATGCATTAATTCACAATATAAGACAATTTATATTCAATAGTTCCAATAAAAGTTTTCCATGTCTGAAACATTGACATAAAAACAAGAGCAAATAACTCTTGAAATAAATAAAAATACTTTTCTGAAATCAATTTCAAGAATTCAGAAATATAAATATTTGATTTTCATGTCAAAATTGAAAATTGTTATCAGAATCATTTTTTTCTAAAAAGCAAACAGAATTATGATAGAAGAAGAGATAGTGGGAAATAAATTCTTCTGTGGAATCCAATGTATTTTCTTCAATATCACAACAAATGGAGACAAGCAAGCAGAAAAGTGATATGAAAGCATTTACCAATTAGTTTGATGTTTTCATTTTCAAATCTCAAATTATATTTATACATTAAACGTATGTATTTTTTAAGCTCTCATGATTAGAAGAGATTTAACATCAATTATATTTTCATTTGATCTTTAAAGAGATTAATCGATTACTTATTGAGAATTTGTTAATTATCTAAGATTATTTTAGTAAGAAGATAAAAGTTGATTATCTCTTAAATGACCAAATTCATATTTTGATTGATTTTGTCTCAAATCTGCTTTGTGCAATGACTTTAAATTGATAACTGTTTATTTGTAGCTATAGACTCAGAAATCGGACAGACAGAAATGTAGCAGTCAGGATATGAAATATACCAACATTTGAAAGCTGCTTAAACTGTGCAAAATAAAAAGGAATGAAGAATTAATTCTTCTGCAAAATGGTTTTTCTGAATGGAGAATTTTTTGTTTGAGACAAAGACAAGAAATATTAGAGAATGAGATCACAATACTTTGCAATCAAAGATTTGAAAAGTGCAAATTCTTCAGTTTTCAAGCCACAAAAATGCACTATGGTAAAAACTAAATGATAGCCTATCTATACTTATAGATAAAATTATCATCTCCTCTTGTTTACTCGCAGGCTTGCTGCACTTCTCAGAAAGCGGGTAGAATCAAACCTGATGGCTTGTTCATAAGCTAGCAGATAATTTTGAAAGCTTAATAATAATCAAAAATAGCCAAATTTGGTTCTGAGAAATTCAGTGGCTGAGTAGTGAAATCATTTGATCCATTGTGAGTATGAAAAATCATGTTGAAGTTTGGTATTCACTGTCTGATCACTTCTTTAACAGTCATTGTAATATACCTGGTGTCTCCAGGGCTTTATCCCTGGACCTACATTGTTCCTAATCTTCATTAACAACCTTCCTGATCTCATCAGTTCTCAACTTGGTATCTATTCTGATGACACAACTATTTATTTCTTTCCTAATGATAAATCCAATAGCTTTAATAAAGCCAAATTGTCAGCTGATCTCAAAAATGACTTTCAATCTGTTATTAACTGAGGCAAGAAATGGCTTGTTAATTTTAATGCCTCCAAAATGAAACTGCTCTTTTTTTAATCCTCATAGAGAACCATTTTTACATTCTATCAGTATGGCTGATGCTAATCTCAAGGAGAGTAACTCCATGCTTCTCGGGCTAATGTTTTCTACTGACATGAAGTGGAAAGATTCTATTGAACCAATTGCTAGATCCACTGCTAGAAAAGTTACTTCACTGTGTCACTCTAGACAATTTTTCTTGACAGAAATTATCTTATACATTTATAAGTCTACCATTCATCCATGCATTAAATATTGCTGCCAATTTCGTCTGGTGTTTCTGCTATGTTTTTAGAGATTTTTGATAAAATCCAAAGAAGAATCTATAATGTTATTAATCCTAACCTAGCATCTTAGCTTCAGTCACTTTCCCACTGCCATAATATATATAGCATAATAGTTTTCCTGTAACTTTTCTAAAATATTTCCATGGTAACTGTTCTGATGAACTTTACTTTTTAGTACCTTGACTTTACAAATTTAAGCACAGTACTAGATTGGCAGCTAGGTATCATCATTTTACTGTTGAAATGGCAAGAGATGTAATAATAAGTTTTATGCTAACATTTACTTCACTCACACTTCTCACTTGTGGAACTTTCCTTCAGCCTCTTTTTTTCCAGTCAACTTTGATCTTCAAAAATTTAGATGCAATATCTATCATTATCTTTTGTCTTCTTAATCCCTGTTCTTTTATTGTCCTCTTTCCTTAATGGTTTTTCTTTTTCTTTTATTCTTTTACACTTCATAACCCATTGTGTTTTAGTGGCTTTATTACCTTGCTTGGGATGAAATGATTAAAAAAAATATCAGTGTCAAAATCTTTTGAATAATGACTTGTACTGGAGCAGGGTGTTTGGAATTAGCTGTGATATTGATGGCTGTAAATGAAGTTAAAATTCCTATTTTTTTCTTTTGTATCTCATGATATTTAGCTTTTATGGTCTATTTTGATTATTACTTGTGGAATGAGAAAACATATACACAAAAACTTAGTTTACTTTATTCACTAACAAAGTACTCAAAGTCAAACTCAAAGTTTTTATCTTTTTTTTCTCTAATGCATGGGTTTTGGTTAAATTTTTCTCCAATTTTTTTAATTTCTACTCTTTTTTATTTTGCAATTTTCAGTATAAAAATCATAATGTTTTTAGAAGTTGAAGATTGTAAACTGTACATTTAGGATATATGAATTTTTGTATTCATAACCACATTGTTAGTTTGTTAACATAAAACTGATGTAAAATGCATTTTGTAATATCACTAAAAATTTACAAGGTTTCCCATTTTGTTGCTTCTATTTTATAGGATGTTCATATAGAGATATTTCAATTATATATAATTATGCACAACATATTGATTAAAGCATGCCTTTTAGAAAATATAATATTAGAATAATTATCTAAAAGCATGATGTTAGATAATTTATATCCCAACATTTACTTACATAAGAAATCACTTATATTAGTTAATTTGTTTATCCTTTATGCAAAGTCATTCTATCTAATAAATAAAAATGTATTGTTTTTCTTTTTTCAGGTTATATGAGGTGGAGAAAGGGTTTGTGATTGTGATGGACAAGAGGAATGATGGATGGGGAACTGTTAAAAGTATCCTATTGAAGCTTTCTGTAAGTATTCATATCCAATATCAACAAAATAGTATTTCTAATTCTTGAAATTTTTATTTTATTTACTCTCCTCCAGCAAAAATGCAATACAAATGTTTGTTTGAACCTTCATCTTTGATTTTGATTCTCTACAAAAAAACAAAAAAAAACCCATCCAAATGAACAAATTTGTTCTGTTGTTTTAAAGATTTTTGTAATCATTTAATTTGTTGTACCAGTTCAAGAAAAAATTATTATAGGCATTAAAGATGGCTACCGATTAACACAGGAGAAATAAATTCACAAAGATGCATACTGAAACAAATGCATTTATGAAATGGCAAAATCTTATTTAACAGAATTTATACACTTTATTTTCCTATTTAAGAATTTGAGAAGTGAAAAAATTAAAATTTTTAACTTTTAAGCTAAATAATAAAAACATTCCATAATTGATACTTCAGCTAAGTAGAAAATAAACATTTGACAGAATCAAAATCACAAATATTTTTCCTTTTTTTCAACACTTGCTGCTTATAAATAAATAGAAATATTGTTTGGATGTTGATATTTTTCATCAAATTCAATTTACCTAATTTCATATTCTTTGCCATTTTTAATTCAAGACTACAATGATTTAAAATTTATAAGTTGAGTGATTAAAATCAATTTTCAAGATTTGTCACAACCAATGTATAAATTTCTGAGTTTGAAAACCTTATAAGATTTTATCTTTATTTTTTAGCTATCTAATCACTTTAGAAAAAACTGATTGTATAGATAGTATCTTATTTTTCAATTTCCATTTCTTGAATTCAACAACACTAGTTCCATTATTCTATTTCAAAGACTACAAATGATTTCAGAAGATTCTTACCCTCATGGTTCTTTTATATATTAAAAACAACACTCAAAAGATTATTTTTATAACAAATTTTATAGAATTGCCAATTAGAAAGAATTTCTCAAATAATTTTCTGTGGTTGTTCATTATAGATTCATTCAAGAGAAACTGCTTGCATTTGGTTTAATTTGTAGCTACTTGTAAGTGTTTTCTTTGGAAGGAGAATATCTATTATTTATTGGAAAGCAACATGGACCTATACTGTCTGGCTTTTTGCCTACTCTGGGTGAGTTTCTGGGTTGCTGCCCATACCTGACTTCACTCTATACTCAGTCTCTCTGGATATATAGCCCTTGCCTCTCAAAGGTTATAATGGACATTACACATTACTGGTCATCTGCTCTCTCTGTTTCATTCAGTACACATTTGTAGCTGTTTTATTGGCCATTTTATTGGTCAAACATTGACCACTGAGGAAAGCTGTTTTCCAAATAAAATATTTAGATAAGAATAAATGCAGAGTTTGAAGGGAAATGGAAACAAAAATGTTGTTTAAAGTTAGACACAACAAGAATGAATTACAAGATCTTCATTGGAGAACTGCAACCACCACCATCCTGACAAATATAACAACACAGAATGACTTTGTTTCAGATTAAATCATTAAAAAAAATCCTAATCCTAATTTATTCAAAAACATTGTACAGTGCAATTGTTTGAAGCAATTATAAACGATTTATAAGTTTGTTTCTGTGGTAATTTTTATTATTATTACTTATGCACTCATCCATATTGTAAAGACACTTCCAGTTATTCTATGCAGGATTAATATTATCAATCTTGATGATGCTTTGCTGCTTTCTCAACATGAATTCATTTGATTTGTATTTCTTACTGAAAGGCTACAGAGATTGATGCCGGTTGTGCTGCCATGTTTCTTGAATAAGCTCTAAGAAATAAATTCAATTCTGCTACAATATATTTCCCAAAGAACTATAGCTAATTTTAAACACCTGGACAATAGCTAAGTACCTTTGACTTGAGAGATTTGAAACCAAAGCTAATTCAACTTCTGCTGCTAAAGAGTAAACGCATTGGTTTTACTACGTGCATCAGTTTTCTTGAAGCTATTTTAAGCAACACTTTCCAGATAAATTAAATACAATCATTAACTACATTGCTCCTTCTGTTGATGAATATATTTCAGATTGTGAAATTTTTGATGATGATGACTGTATTTTGCAGAACTTTTATGTGAAATCTAACAGGTATACAAGGCATTTATTAGCCAGCAGTTGGCAATAGATGAAGAAGACATTAAATGAATATCTGTAAGCACTAAAGCATCTGAGTGGAGACTGTAATTACAGGGCAGTTACTGCTAAAATGTGTAAAAAAAGAAGACGTTATCCATGATGCTTTTTAGAAGAGGTCTAATATCTAATACCATTCATCAGCAGCTGCTTGAGAAGAAAACACGTGATCTTGCAACTTCCTTTGATGAAGCAAAAGCTGTGAAACAGGATCAAACTTATTCAGAATCAGACTTTGCATCATAGACAACCTTTAGTTGACAAACATCTGCTTCCAGCAATAGTGCAGAAACATGTACATGACTGATTGTCAAATATTGGTTGCTATTTCTAAAGGAAAGAAATTTTTTTTTTTCTGTCGAAATAATAGGTTTCTTCACTAGAATTGTCCAATATGGGAAAGTATATTGCAAAAAAAGGGCCATTTTGCAAAATTATGTCATTCAACAAGACCTAAGACATTGGCAACACTTCAGTCTACAACTCTTGCTCTGATGGTAGCTACCTTGGAATTATTTACTTACTGCTACTACCTGGATTAAATGAGAAGAGTGTCAGAACACTTATTGACATGAATACTGAGAACTTTCTATGCCAATCCTTTGTTTAGAGGCTAGATTTGAACAGATATTCAGGTTCAAATGCTGAAACTATAGCATCAAATTTAATGAGCTATAAGATGGTTGGTTATTGTTTGCTAAGAGGATGTCAGTATCAGAAAGGCTGTTTGATTTATGTTCTGATGCCATCTTTGAACAGAGGTAATATCCAATCATATGTATAAATGTTGGTGATGAGAAACTTCCATTAATTGGATGTGAAATGCCGAACATGTTTGTTTCTCTTTTTTGACTTTTTGCTAACCTTACCAAAATTGTAGCCCAAAAGCTACTAAATATAATTTTCTTCAGATAAACACTTTATTACAAGTTGTTTTTTTTAATTATTAAAGTTGACTCAATACAACCAAGCCAAGATTTTTCTGTTAAAATGGTTATGATGTGATATGAATGAAACAGTAGGTCGCAGGAAGTGAAGGTTATGACGATAATGAGAAAAGATAATGCTTGATCCTTGACTTGAAGAGTTTAAGAATGTTGTGTTCAGGAAAATATCCATGTATGAACCTGTTCTACAAAGTAGCAGAAACATCTGAGTGGAACTTTCAGAACATGGAAGAAATAAGGGTGATTCAACTGTAGAAGCAGCATGGTAAGTCCTAGCAGTAAAAGTCTGAACTGAGCATTTGCCAGGAAAATAGTGATAGAGTAGTAACAGGCTTGCAACTTTGCATCTGTAGGAAAGAGGCTGCAGAGTGGAGAATAATTCTTTCCCCACAAAACTATATAAACAATTTTGAACCCATTAAGGGCTAGAAAATGAAGGAGTAACTCCACCTCTGATATGGCAGCAATACTCTGTTTTATGCCTAATCTGAGTCTTGTACAGATAAAGCATAGCCAGAGTCAGTTACTTACTAAAGCAATATTATGAACTAACCATTTTTCCTGGTTCCAACATACATGCACAAAATTTTTTAAAAAAATATGAAATGGCGACAATTTACCCATCGCACCCTGTAGATGCTCAAAGCATGACGCCTCATTGAGAATGCAAATGTTCATCATCACTGGAAAAAAATCTCAGGTCTAATTGGTGAGGATGAATTGATACTAGCTTGATTTTTGAGATATTGAAAGTTACAAGCCAGTTTTTCCCGATTGAGCTATGGAAGAGGAAATGTCAGCTACACGGTTCTGATCATCTTGATTTTTGGAAGTGTGTTCATAAATTGTGATATCAGCTGCATAGATGTTTACTAATGATCTGAGAATGCTCTGAGCAGATCATTAATTAAAAGAAAGCAGATAAGACCAACCAATGCTTACATGATTTAATGAGCTCCTGAAGAATAACCATTGACAATAACATTCATAGAACGAACTGAGAGAAAGGACTTGCTGATTTAGATGTCATTCATGAGTGCATCTACCAGTTTTACTTTGTCAGACCAAGTGGACTTACTATTAAGACAGGAATAAATGTTTCTGTCATCAGAATAAATACCTAGTTGGGAACTGATGAGATTGGGAAGGTTGTTGATGAAGATAAGAAACAACTTAGGTTAAGGATAAAGCCCTGGCATCTAATCAGTTAACTGGAGTAAGAAACGACTTGTTAATTGTAATACCTCTGAAACAAAACTTCTCTCTTTAAATCATCATAGAAAACTTTTCTTTGCCTTCTATCGGTATGGCTGATGCTAACCTCCAGGAAAGAAACTTATTACACCTTAGTCTCACACTTCCCACTGACATGAATGCCAAAATCCATCTTACACATTCATTGTTTCTTTCTGATTCTAAGTAGAAGTGTCCTTTTTGTTTTCATTTTCCTTAAAATTTCCTCATATTCACATGTTCCATCTGTGGTATCCTCAGCATCCTTCTGTAGAACTACATCTATATTACTTCATCTCTCCATCTCTGAAAAACTGTCTAACATTCACATCCATATTTTTCTTTTTAAAATTTTTTCTTAATCCTTTCACACCAAGCAAGGCAATAATGCCACTAAGATGCAAGTGGGTTACTGAGCGTGAAAGAACATAAGAAAAAGAAAACATTATTAAAGAGAGAGAACAAAAAAAAAAAACAGCAAATAAGAAGACAAAAGATAATAATTGACATTTCATTTAAATTTTTGAAGCTCAAAGTTGACTAGAAAGCAAGAAGCCAGAAAAGAGTTCCATAAGCAAGAAGTGCAATAGAAAAAACTCTTTACCTCAAACTTAGTTACAGCTAGGCATTTCAACTGTAAATTGATGAAACTTTGCACCAGTCTAGTACTGCACATAAATTCAT